GCGGAGAATGTGAATTCAGGAATCGAACTCAATACCTCGGCTATTACTCTACCATGACCATTGAAGAGGTATAATGTTAATCCAGCCAACCAACCAACCAAATCCTCTTAAGTCTTAGTTTGATGATCTCTCCAATATTCTTATTTCACCAGATTTCAATTGATCAGTGAAGAAGAGAACCGGGCACAAACCAGAAGCATTTTAATCCTAACCCAATAGACGATAGAGATAACCGGATTTTTTTTTTATGGTTTAAAACGATTTGAGATTTGGGCTTAATTTGAGATTCGGCTTAATTTCGTCAGACCGGTAATCGGATTGTGGCGAAGTGGCGGCGGCGATGGGAGAAAAGACGAGGAAGCTGCTTGTGTTGTATGCTTCTCAGACCGGAAACTCTCTTGATGCGGCGGAGCGTATTGGCCGCGAAGCTGAACGTCGGGGATGTGCAGCGTCCATCGTCTCCACCGACGAATTCGACGCGGTAAATCATATGAATTTAACAAAAGCTTGTTCATCTGTGCTTGACGATTGTTTGCTTCGTTTTATTCGATGCTTGAGATGTGAAGGAAAAGTTACAATTCCTTTGTTTGGCTGTTGATTTTGATGGAATTTCATAAACTCTGTAGTCGTACTTAGTGCCCTTAAAAGTGTTTTCCTTTATAAGATCTTATTCAAGTTGCCATGTGATTCCTGCAGAGTTCCTTACCTCATCAAGAGGCTGTTGTTTTTGTTGTCTCCACTACAGGGCAAGGAGACTCTCCAGATTCTTTTAAGGTTCGTTGCAATTCCACTACAATTACGTATTGTTAGTTATTGTAGCTGATTGTTGTTCATTGTCTTTTTAATCGTTGGAAGGCGTTTTGGAGGTTTCTTCTTCAAAGGAATCTTGGAAAGTATTGGTTACAACAAGTTCGCTATGCGGTGTTTGGGCTAGGTGATTCTGGTTACCAGAAGTACAACGTAAGTGCAGCTACCAATTTATTATTCCAATCTTGGGCTACTCCTGAGTTCTTCTGGTTTTGTTTTCATGTACTCGTCAATGTGAAAAAAGTGTAGGCTTTACTAAGGAAGATATATGGAGTTTCGTCTGAATTATTCTTCTGTGGCACAAATTGATGACATGCTTTTCTGTTTTCTGATGGCTTCAGTTCGTAGCAAAGAAGCTAGACAAAAGATTATCAGATCTTGGTGCCACAACCATCATTGAGAAAGGCCTGGGAGATGATCAACACCCATCAGGGTATGATACGGTATATTAAGACAGATAAAGATTTCTGTCAAAGTTGATCCTGCTTTTACATAACATGATTTGATACTAAATGAATCATTTGATCAGTTTAAGATATCATATCCACTTTCTTACTGTTGCTGGTATAGTTCTCTATAAGTCTAGTGTTACATTATTAAAAATTCAGTTTGGTGTTTCCTTTATTTTAAGGTATGAAGGAACTCTTGATCCGTGGATGCTGTCTTTGTGGAATACATTATATCAGATCAATCCAAAATACTTTCCTAAAGGTCCAGATGTGATGATTCCTCAAGACGAAGTAATTGATCAGCCTAAATATAGGATTTTGTATCATACGCAGGAGAATTGGGAGCCTGAATTGTTGGTAGAGTCAGGTATATTATACGCCCATCATGTTTTTGAGAAGGGAATTATAAAGGTCAATATTGAGTGGACACTTTGCTTCATTCATGTTCACTTAGGACTATGTATGCTACTTTACAGTGATATGTGTCTACTTGCTAATGGTAATTGCTAGAAATGTCAATATAAAAATGAATTTGAATGAATCTGCTGGAAGTAGTCTCACTCATGTTCTGTTTCAATTCACTCGTCAAATCAATTTCGCTTGCATCATGAAAGAGGTCGGGTAGCATTTTTCCTGTTTGGAGAATTTCTCTTGCATAATATGCCACTCATGCTTTGGCAGACATCATACAAAGATCCCGTGGAATGTCTCCTGGAAAATTATCCAAGGACAAAAGTAACCCAGACTGCTTTCTCAAGATGGTACGCACATCTTACTGGTTATGCTATTCCATTGATCTATTACCTTGAATCTGGTGTATTTATATTGCTCGATGGTCAACATGTTTTCTTACAATATCTTATTTTGGTAATGCATTATTATGTGAAGCCTTAGATGATATGAATTGTATTCCCTTAGCTTGCCTTAACATTCCAATCATGTAGACCAGAAATGAAGTCTTGACGAAAGCTGGAAGCACAAAGGATGTTCGCCACTTTGAGTTCCAATTTCTTTCTTCTGTAAGTACTTTGCTTACTTTTAAGGTCAAAGTTCAATCAATTTCGAGGGTGAATTCTGATCCTATTTGGTTTCTTCCTCTTTTAAGACTATTGAATATGAAGTCGGTGATGTTGTTGAGCTTCTTCCAAGCCAAAATCCTTCAGCAATAGATGCGTTTCTAGAACGCTGTGATTTGGACCCAGAATCATTCATCACAGTAAGTAGCTCCACTCTGTTGACATAATGATCTCATATTGTCTAATTTGGGATTTCAAAATAAGCGCTGATAGTTAATTTGTTTTCAGGTTTGTCTGAGAGAGAGAGAGAATAGTGTTTCCTGTGGAGAA